TGGCACACCTTTTTACCCCTTTAAACATGTCAATGTTACATATATGTTTGTGTGCGTGTAACTGTGTATATGTATATTCAACTAATTTTTATACCTAACATATGCACCATGTATACTTGTAGTGAAGAAAAATATACACATACGCATGCCTATTATATATATGCCTTCAAAGAGGTCAAAGAAATAGGGTGAGAAGAAAAAAGGGTTTACAAAACTAAGTAATTGGGTCAAAGACGCTTCACATGGTGAAGAAAAAGAGATACATTCAAAGAGACTAAATAAAACATATTTAAGGAAAAAAATGAGAGAGAGATAAAGAATAAGAGGAAGAAGAAGAATGGCTAGTGGAAATGTCAACCACATTAAGCCCTTAAAACCCGCTTAGCTTTTGACAATAGAGACCTACATACTATGGATGGTCTTCTGTTCAGTGTGTCTCTTTCATCGTGAACTTCCCATATTATTCCTTTATTTATTTGAAAAATATCGGAAGTACAGACATTTTTTATTATTAATATTTTTTGCAAGAAGTGTGAATTTAAACTAAAACATTACTTCGAGGACTGGGATGGATGAAACCAAAATGGTCACTTCTGAGCGGCGCCCTTTAAAAGTACATTAACAGTGGAAAGTAGCCAGAGTGAACTCACGAAGGGACACATCTTCCTTTCGTAGTTACTTTGTTAATACAAATTCCAGACACAATTCGGCTTTTGAGATGCTACTTTCTTTTTTTCTTGCATTGTGGTATAGGTCGAGAAGATTGAGATGTAGATGATGACGCATTTCGATCATCTTGACCTAATCATATACTAATACTAACGGATATAACCCTAAGAAGTATTCTAAATATCCAAGACAATTATATTTCACATTTCAAAACAACATTTGGCTTCTTCACCTTCTTCATCTGTATCTAAAGACATGTCTTTAGGCCAAACTGGTCGAGAGGAAATGCTTGCATGATTAGTGAGTGCACGCGCATAATCATTATTTCTGTGTTTGTAAAACACATGAAGTAAAAATGGCTAAATCAACCATTTTCCAGCTTCCTACTTAGAAAAATTACTGCTTCAGTGTCCTAGCTATATACGGTGTTCTCTATTAAAGAGACAAAGTGTCATACATGGTTATGCAACAAAAATCGATCGAAACAGCCGTTCTGTTAAAAAGAACAGCAGTTGATACAGTGCTAATAAGTATTCGACTTGATAGGTCGCAATCATGTTTTTATACTATTTCGAAGCTACTGGAAAGTGGGGAGGGAAAAAAAACACTTTGCATGCATTTAACGACAGATAGATTCAATAATGGTGTGAAGTAAATGAAAGATAAATTAAACTTGAACAGTATCCGTAGAAAATCCGGTGAAAGAAAAAAAAAATTCATTTCTAAATACGTCGATGTTTTGTAAATAAATCCCACAAGTGTTAGGTAGCAGGTAATTAAGGAAAAAAAAAACCATTTAAACGGGAATTTGGTGCCTGTTAGAGGCTGAAAGCAGAAGGTTTTCAAGTCTCAGAAGAAATATTTTGGAAGTGGTGGGGCACGTGTCAAAGGGTTACAGTGTTAAGAGTTTTCTTTTCTTGTTGTGCTTTTTATTAGCGTTTGATTTCCTGGCTAAACTCAATGGAACAGTAAGAACACACAGAGGATAAAGTTTTTCTAAGATTTCAATGTATTCAACTTGCTCTCTAAGCAAAGAGCTCAAAGAGTGTGTTTTACCGTTGGAGGAGTGAGAAACAACTTCACTCTCTCACAACATTACAAATCCATCACAACCATTCATTTCTAAGCCATCATGTGAGATGCTTACACTTGTCATGAGATATGACTCATTATAATCTAATCTAGATACCATATGGAATATGATCCAATGGCTTACATTAAAACCTGCACAATGCTTATAATAAACCTAAACAGCAAATACATTTATACACCAATACTCCCTTCTAAATGTTTTGCTGATTTTACTCCAAGTGCATTTCTCAAGTACTCAAACCGATCTTTAGGAAGCGCCTTTGTAAACATGTCTGCCAATTGCTCCTCTGTTCTGCAGTAGTGTAATTCAATGGTGCCATCTTGAATAGCATCCCTTATGAAGTGATATTTTCTGTTGATATGCCTTGTTTTCTGGTGGAATACTGGATTCTTGGACATGGCTATGGCAGAGGTGTTATCACAGAGCAAGGATGTAGCCTCTACTTGTTCTTCTCCAAAATCAGACAACACAAATCTCAGCCACATTGCTTTTGTTGTGGCTACTGCAGCAGATACATATTCAGCTTCTGCAGTAGATAGTGCCACACTGCATTGTTTAACAGAAGCCCAAGAGAATACCCCTGTACCAAAACTGAATGCATAGCCCGAGGTACTTTTCATATCATCCAAACTTCCTGCCCAGTCACTATCACAATAGCCTATCAACATAGCAGATTTACCCTTCACATATTCAATTCCAAAATCCAATGTGCCTTGTACATATATCAATACCCTTTTAGCTGTTCCCATGTGCTTCATGGTAGGTTTATGCATAAATCTTGCCAACAAGCATGATGCATACATCAAATCTGGTCTAGTAGCTGTTAGATATAACAAACTACCAACCATTTTCCTGTATAAACCTTCATCAGCTTCCTCACTTCCATCAACTTTGGATAATCTGTCAGTGATAGCAAGTGGAGTTTTCACAGCTTTACAATCCTTCAAACCAAATTTTTCCAGTAAAGACTTGGCGTACTTGCCATTATCTATCTGAATGATGCCTAAGCCAAGGAAATGATGCAGCAATCCCAAATCTGACATTTCATACTGTTTCATCATATCATTTTGAATTCTTGAACCATCTTATCAGAACTCCCTGTGTAGATAATGTCATCTACATACAGAGATACAATAAGCACACCTGCATCACTGAATTTAGTATACAAAGTAGCTTCACTTTGACTTCTCTTGAAACCAGACTGATTGAAATATGTATCTATCTCATCATACCAAGCTCTGGGAGCTTGTTTCAGACCATATAAGGCATTTTTCAGTCTGTAAACCTTGTCTTCTTTCCCTTTGACTTCAAACCCCTGTGGTTGATCAACATATACTTCCTCATGTAGTGTACCATTTAGGAATGCCGATTTAACATCCAATTGGAATAATTTCCATTCCTTTTGAGCTGCCAATGCAATCAAGGTTCTAATGGTATCAAGCCTTGCCACTGGTGCAAAGGTCTCATTAAAATCAACCCCAGGCTTTTGAGAATAGCCCTTTGCCACTGATCTTGCCTTATTTTTCTGCACTGATCCATCAAGATTAAGCTTGGTCTTATAGACCCATTTGACACCAATTGCTGGTTTATCAAACGGCCTATTGACTAACTCCCATGTATCATTCTTTTCTATCATTTCAATTTCTGTAGACATAGCTTTTCTCCAAGCTTCATCACCTGATGCTTCTTCAAAACACTTAGGTTCTATCACACAGAAATTACACCTTTCATATAAATCTTTCACACTTCTGAATTTGAGAGGTGTGTGATCAAACTCTTGCGGTTCAGTAAGATTCACTTGTTTCTCTTGACTTGAATGAGAAACTACAGTTTGATCTTGTTGCTCCAGTAAAGATTTTGTACCCCTCTCATCTACTTCACTGTCAACATTACTCCCTTCATCACAATGTACTTCATTAGAGACTGAAATAGACAGATTCTTCTCAACATGAGTTTTCCAATTCCAGCAAGTGTTTTCATCAAAGATTACATCTCTTGAGATAATAATCTTCTTGGTTTCAGGATTGAATAATCTGTAACCTTTCTCACAAGATCCATAGCCAAGAAAAATGCATTTGACACTTGTTGCATCCAGTTTCTGCCTCATTTGTGATGGAACTTGTGCATAGCATAGAGATCCAAACACTCTTAAATGTTTTACTCCAGGCTTCCTTCCACTATAAGATTCAAAAGGAGTCTTCTTGTTCAAAGCTTTGGTGGGACATCTATTTAGAATATAGACAGCAGTGTTAACTGCTTCTGCCCAAAATTCAAATGGAATACCCTTCTCCAGCATCATACTCTTAGCCATTTCTACAATGGTTCTATTCCTCCTCTCTGCAACACCATTCTGCTGAGGGGAATAGGCCACTGTGAGCTGTCTCTCCAACCCAAAATCTTCACAAAACTGAGAAAATTCAAGTGAAGTATACTCTCCTCCCCTGTCACTTCTTAATTTTTTCAGTTTGAACCCACTTTGTAGTTCAACAGTTGCTTTAAACTTTTTGAACACACTAAATGCCTCAGATTTGGTCCTGAGAAAATACACCCATCCCATCCTGGTACAATCATCAGTGAATGTGATAAAGTACTTATTTCCTGCTTTGGTAGGTGTTTGCATAGGGCCACATATATCAGTGTGGATCAATTCCAAAGGTAAAGCAGCTCTCCACTTGGTTTCTTTGGGAAATGCATCTCTGGAATGCTTGCCAAGGGCACATCCCTCACATATTGTGGAGTTCATTCTGAGCTCAGGTAAACCAGTCACCATGTCATGCTCTTGGAGTTGCATTAGAGCATTCATATTTAGATGCCCGAGTCTTCTATGCCATATCTCAGCATCTTGTCTAACATTTGCCCTCATAGCAATTTGAATTCCTGGTTGCAACTTCAAAGGAAAGCTTTGATTTCCCTTCATGGGGATTTTAACAACCAGATTAGAGCATGTAAAATCTTCATAAATTCTGACTTCAATCCCTCCAAATACAAGATAATGTCCATGCTCCATCATCTGTCCCACACTCAATAGGTTCTCCTTTAAACCAGGTACCAACATGATCTCCTTGATATACCTTTTGCCTTGCTTAGTTGCAACCATTAACTCTCATTTTCCAACTACATTAACCAACTCCCCTGTGCCCATTTCAACTTTGGCAGTAACACTTCTATCAATGTTCTCCAGTAAATCTTCTCTTCCTGTCATGTGATTACTGCAGCCACTATCAACATACCAAACATCTTATCCCTTCTTCACTGCAGCAGCCATACACACATAGAACATGGTTGGATTGTTCTCCACTTGTTTGGCATAATTGGCCTGTTGAGTAACCTTCTTTGACCTGCAATCCTTGACAAAATGTCCTGGCTTATCACAGTTATGACACCTTGGTTTCCCCTTGAACCAACACTCTCCAAAGTGAAGTTTATCACAGTACTTACAAGCATTCTTGACATTATCAGAAAGCCCAGTAAATTTTCCTTGATGGTGCACAGATTTGTTATCCCATTTCTTACTCTTTGTCTGCCAGTTCTTTGTGGGTTTAAAACTTTGATTGCCATTGTAATTGTTCTTCCTGGGAGCTATACTTAAACTAGCAAAGGCTTTTTCTGTATTATTTTCAGAGTGTCTCTCAATTCTTTGCTCAAACCCTTTTAGAGTAGCAACTACATCCTGCACATCAACTGTCTCCAAATCCCGTGTATTCTCAATCACAGCTACAATACTATCATAGGATCTAGGAAGACTAATCAATAATTTCTGCACTATTCTTTGATTTCCAATACTCTCACCATAACTTTTCATTTGCGTAATGAGATCAAACAGACGCACAAGATACATAGAAAATAATTCATGTTCACCCATCCGAGTATATTCAAAATCACGCCTTAAGCTTTGAAGTTTCACAGATCTCACCTGTTTATCTCCAATAAACTCTTGCTTCAGTATATCCCAGGCTTCTTTTGCTGTTTCTAGAATGGCGATTCGTGGGAAAATTTCATCGGACACAACACCTTGAATAACACCGAGAGCCTTAGCATCCTTGATCATGTTCTCCTTCAGCTGCTTTAGCTCAGCGGCAGTAAGTTCTTCGCCTTCTTTCTTCACCAGAGGATTATACCCCGTTTCAACCATATCCCACAGATCGTGAGATCTGAAAATGGTCTTCATCTTTATCTGCCAGAAATCAAAGTTTTCCCCATTGAAAATCGGTGCTCGAAGATCAGCACCACTCGATCCAGCCATATTAGACTTGTTATCGAGTTACCCAGTGATTTTCAGATCGTTCTTCAATCGCAGCAAACTCGATTCTCTGTCGAGTTCCTCAGCTACGAACCTTGTCACAGATGTACGCCCAGATTTAGATCCAACCTGGCTCTGAGGCCATATTAGCGTTTGATTTCGTGGGTAAACTCAATGGAACAGTAAGAACACACAGAGGACAAAGTTTTTCTAAGATTTCAATGTATTCAACTTGCTCTCTAAGCAAAGAGCTCAAAGAGTGTGTTTTACCGTTGGAGGAGTGAGAAACAACTTCACTCTCTCACAACATTACAAATCCATCACAACCATTCATTTCTAAGCCATCATGTGAGATGCTTACACTTGTCATGAGATATGACTCATTATAATCTAATCTAGATACCATATGGAATATGATCCAATGGCTTACATTAAAACCTGCACAATGCTTATAATAAACCTAAACAGCAAATACATTTATACACCAATACTTTTCTCCCCCTGGTTTCCTTTACGGGAGTAGGAGATGATTCTTAGAGTTCGTGTAGACCTCCAAGGCCCCCAGCTTTAAAGGAAAGGCCTCATAAGTTTTCAAACTGTGTGTGTGTGTATATATACAGCTACAGTTGGACCTTTATATAATTATATTCCTATCATGCTGGTACTCAAATAATTTATAAATCAAAGGAATAAATCATGAACAGAAGTATTCACTGAATTATTAAGGTGTTCTGCCAGTAATTGCTTGTTTTTCACCCTGCAAAATGGCACAGAGAATGTTTTTTCACCATTGAGTATTTACTAGTGTAGGAAAAGGTTTTTACCGATGTCATCTGTTTTTCCTCCTTATAATGGAAAATTTTCGGAGTTTATGGCACTTACGTCATGTGATGTTTTCACCAATAAAAATTTGACACTTAGATATAATTTTCTCTATTTTGATTAAATAAGTTTTTAAAAACTTTATGTGTCAAATTCTCATTGATTGGAAATACCACCGAAATACCACCTGGCATAAGTGCCAGGAACCCGAAAAATTTCTCCATATAATGTGCCTTTTTACTTGGTAAAGGGTAATTAGGGTAAATATTGTATTGGTGGTAATTTCTGATTTCTCCAACAATTGCACAAGGCTATATTCCATGAAAGCCATTAGCTGGCTCGGCTCTTGTAATTGTATATAGTGTACGAGAAATATTACCCTCTCATTGCTCCTTCCTCCTCAGGTTTAGAGAAAGAGACGCAACAGTGACATCGAGATAGAAAAGCTTCTCTCTGTGTTTAGACAATTCATTTTCTTAAGGTTTCGCTTGGTGGGCTGGATATGATAGGTCGTGATCAATTAAAATGGACTTAGTCCAATCAGTTATTTGTCGTGTCAAAATATGAGATGTACATAACTGGATATGATGTGTTATGAATTTACAATAGAGTGAGTTATCTAATTAATCTATCCTTATACATGAGTTACAAATCTTATCGTAAGATTTATGTCTATCCAATCATTCTTAAGACCCAATCCCATCCAGCCTACCAAATGGGTCCTAAATGTTTATTGAGTACCTTTGGGGGCATGTTTGGTGGGTTAGGTTGTGATCAATTAAAATAAACTTTAATCCAATCTGTTATTTGTTGTGTCAAAATGTAAGGTGAACATGATGAGTTATCAATCCACAATAGAGTGGGTTATATCTAACATATTCTTATAGGTGTGTTACAAGTCTTGTCTTACATGTCCCTACTAATTCATTCTATTCCTAAAGCAAAATTCTATTCAACCTACCAAACGAGCCCTCATAAAACACAAGTTGAACTAAGTAGATAATGATAAGTTCCTAAATAAATTGAACACTTGGGTTGTAAGGCCCAGGTTTTTGAACCAGAACAATAAACAAAACGGTTTTATATTCCCTTTTTCTTCTCTCTTTATTTTCTTGTATTGGAGAGGGCATTATAATAGAAGCCATGATTGGTTTTTGTAGAATTCCTTTCTCACTATATATAAATAAAGCTACTTGATCGAAGTATGCTTCAATTTAGAAGTGAATATAATTATATAAATGTATGCCCCTAGTATTTCTATAGGCTCTATGACTAATTAAACGAGCTTTTAGGCACTTCAACCATATCATTATTTTTAGGGTTCTTTAGAGAAAGACCCTTGAAACTCCTATTTTCCAAACAAAAACCCACCTAATAGTCAATATTCAAATAAAACCCAAAATTCAAATAGACTACCATGTAGACAAATATGTAACCAATTATTACAACATATTTACAACTTATGCCACAAAACCCTAATTATGTCAATAAATATTATTAGTCACCCTAATTATGATTAGCAATTAACCCCATATGGAAATTTACCTTTCTTGTATCATAAATATTAGTAACATGTATATATACACACTAATTTATCCATATTCATAAACAATTATGGGCACATTTTTGGTATGAAAAAAGAAAATTGTTTTGTATAATCAGTTATTTTGCATCAAATAATATGGTTTGATAAAAAAAAACAAACCAATTAATGTTCTTTATGTTGTAGGTAAATTATTTTACATAGATTAGACATTTTTTATTTGTTATTATATATGCATGTTAAAAATAATTAATCTATATTTATATGTTAAATATAAGTAAATTAATTTTGAATCAAATAGCATTTATTTTGTAGGTAAATTAAAATAGTAGTTACATTATTTTGGTCAAGTTAAACAGTGCCTAAATTATTTCGTAAAAACTAAACCAAGACAAATTATCACCATTAAAATGAAACAATAGATCGTTATTTTTTTATTTGATTAAACAATAGGTAAATTAAGTTGAATATCAGAGTGCACAACGAACGAGACTAACAAAATAAGAATATTATTAAACAAACGAGAATGCCGAAACGGCTACAAAACCCTAAGAGACTGCATTGTGACTAACTTATTCTCTCTGTATAACGAAGCTCTCTATTTATAATAAACTAACCCTAGTCCCTAATAAGCAAGGAAATGAAAACCTAATTCTAATAGGCAAGAAACTCTAATATCCTTGGCTCACAAGAAAACCATAAACAATAATAAAATAATAACTAATTTTCCAACACCCCCGTCATACTCATGGCGGTACACGTCATGAGTTTGCCAACAAGTAGATGCAGATGCAAGACTCCAAATTTCAATGTTAGTGCCGATGCCGATGCCAATGCCAATGCCAATGTTGGTACCGATGCCGATGTCAATACAAATACCAATGCTAATGCCAATTCCAACTTCCGAACAAACAAACAAAAATTCAATTCACCACGTTCACAACGTCACTTGAGTGGTCTCCAATCCAAGTACTCGAGCGATCATCGCGGTAGGAACAACAGACCAACCAAACAAAAAACTCAACAGTAGCTCCAATTAACAAGTCCCAATAACAGCAACATGTGAGCTCGAAACATTTAAAAAAAAAAACAACCAATTTTTTTTCTTACCCGTGTGGGCACAAAGTCAAAACCTCAAAAACAAAGCATTTTCTTATATTTCCCTTTTGTCTTTTCCTCCTCATTTTTCTGTTTCGTTTCGTTTTTCCTTTTTTTTTTTCTATTTTTTTTTCTTTTTCTGGATCTTCTTCAAAGTTTCAAACAGTAGCAATACTGCAAAATGGGTTTTGCAGCTGCAGCTCTGTATGACGGCCTTCAACAGGGCAAACTACAGATGCTGGTCAAATTCAAACGGGTCTGATACAGTGCAAGTGCAAACAGTCGGATTTGTGCTGGGATTCAAGTGGTGGTTCTGCAAGGCGGGGGCGAACTCGATCCAAGTGGTCATCGGGCCTGGGCGGTGATGCAGCGGTGGGGCTGGATGGATTCGAATATGCAGGGAAGCAGCGGATTCAACAGGTGGTGGAGTGGACAAATAAATTTCAGCAACGGGTGCGTGCAGATGCAGATGGTGGTTCAACAATCCATATGCAGAAACGTTGTGGGATGCGAGTCAGGTGCAGGTTCATAAGCAGGAGTACAGAATAAGAACGAACGACGACAAAGGCAAACAAATTGATACCAATGAGAACGGATTGAACCCTAAGGATCGAACCCGCTTTGATACCAAGTTGAATATCAGAGTGCGCAATGAATGAGACTAACAAAATAAGAATATTATTAAACAAACGAGAATGCCGAAATGGCTACAAAACCTTAAAATACTACATTGTGACTAACTTATTCTCTATGAATAACAAAGCTCTCTATTTATAATAAACTAACCCTAGTCCCTAATAAGCAAAGAAACGAAAACCTAATTCTAATGGGCAAGAAACTGTAATATCCTTGGCCCACAAGAAAACCATAAACAATACTAAAATAATAACTAATTTTCCAACAAATTATATTGTAGGTACATTATGTTTGTAAAAAAAAAAAAAGGAAAATTGAAAGTAGTAGATATATTATTTTTAACCAAATTTCCTTTATTTGTAGGTGAATTATTTGCATGCATTATATATATTATAAATTTCTTTTGAATCAAATAACATTTCTTTAATTTTATAAGTAAATTATTTTGCATGTATTATTACTGGACAAATTTTATAGTGCCCTTTCAGATTTTCATTTGGGTAAGAAAATGACAAGATTAAATTAAAATTGTAAAATGTTATGCAAATTTGAAAAACAAATACAAAATCTTAAGGAAAGTATAACATTAGTGCTTTTTTTTTTGTTCCAAGAAGCATTAACATACAATTTGTTATGATATATCAATATGCAATGATTTTAAACTTTAATGCATTTTTTTAACTAATCCCTCCCTTCAAATCTGCATAGAATTTAATGTATACATTAAAACTGTAATTAAGGGTGTTTAAGGCATCTAAAAAATGCAAAATGTGTAAAGGCAAATAGAATTAATGAATTTGCTTATGTGGAGCTTAGTCATTGGGTTTTATTCAGGTAAAAAGACTATGTCGGGTTTTATGTAAAGAAACTTGAATTTCAGGGGCTAAAGTCATATTTTCAGTTA